TATAACCCATTTTCATTTTCTAAAAGAAGAGAGAAGAAAGCGGGCTACAAATTTATAGTCAGCTGCAACACGGACTCCAAAACGTTATGTGTGTATGACAAGTGAGACCGGGTATTAATGGTGTAGTATATTTTTATAGTTACCTATTTTATAAGTGGACTATTTGATTTGTTATAGATGATTTAGAGACAGTAGTTAGCTATTAAACTTGCTCTGAGGTCGCGAGGCGAGCCTGCGGGCAGCAGGAGCCGGGAGGGAGGAGGGGGAATGCGTCGTCATCGTCGTTGACGGTTACAGTGATAACAGTATCTTTTGCCAGCGGTTTCTCCGGATCGCTTTCGCCGTCGCTGTCTGCCGGCATAATTCTAGAACTTTCTTAACTATAATATAAAATTTGGTCTCCAATTGGTATCAATACAAATCCATTCATCTAAAATGCTACCCTACCAAAATATTGATAGTGCCAAAACATACCTAAGTTTTCGCACTACCAATACTTTAATACTTTAGTAGGGCACTAAACCAAAGAAGCCCGGAAACGGATTCGCCGCCGGTGGCTGCTGCGTTGCGTGACGACCGGTCGGTGAGCAGGGGCGGCCGGGCGGTCGGGACGAGACGAGAGAGTTCTTCTCCGGCGCGCTCAGTGGAGCTATCAGCTCGCCACCATCGATCCATATCGCTCTCGGGCTTACGCGAGTGCCCTGGCCGCGACGCCATATACATCGTTTCACGTTTTTGCAGTATGATCAAGCGAGAGCGTGTGCTTCACATGTTTCGTGGAATTCGTGGTCAGACGACGGTGGTTGATGGTCTATGCCCAATTTCAAAAGATCGATGTTACGGCGTGATGACGCTAATACGTCGAAACCCGAGTAGGATGAGCCGTAATGTCGTACTGTATAGTATTATTTTTGAGATTCGAAGGGTGCCGCTCGTACATAGTAGTAGCTCGTTTTTAGAGTATTTTGAGAAATATTACTATTCGAACAAAGCTAAATCAAGATGGACTTTTCAGAATCTTATACCAAGGCCCGGGATTAGCAGCACGTTGTTCTCGTAATCAGGCATAGATGTCGATGCTGATAGACTGACAGCACCTGCACATGACTACCTTCTTGTCAGTATTGCCCGTTGAATCACAGAAAAGATAATGCGCGCGCGTTTCGGCCCAGAGGGCCCAGCCCCGGCGCGCGCGTCCTCTGACTTTTTTTTTCCTTTTTTTTCCAATTTTTTCGTTTTTGTTCACACTTTTTTCTGTTTATTTTTTTAATCTTTTATCATATTTTGAGTTTGAAAGTTTTTAAATTCTTGATTTAAAAACTTTTAAGTTCAGATTTGAAAATTTTTATTTTTTTCAAATCTTGATTTAAAAGTTTTCGAATCTCGATTTGAAAGTTTTCGAATCTTGAGTTGAAAGTTTTCAAATCTCATATTGAAAGTTTTCAAAATTTTCAAATATGGACTTGAAAGTTTTTGAATCTCGATTCTTGAGTTGAAAATTTCGATTCTGAGTTGAAAGTTTTCAAATCTTAAGTTGAAAGTTTTCAAATCTGGGTTGAAAGTTTTCAAATCTGAGTTGAAAGTTTTTAAATTTTAAAACTTAAATCGAAAGTTTTCAAATCTAACTTAATTTTTTTTATTCTGTAAGTAAAAAAATCTCCCAAAAAAATAGACAGAATCTTTTCTAATTACTACCATTAGTGTTAAGTATATTAACTAATATAAGTAGTTAAGACTAAAGAGAAGGGGAAGTGCTCGCCAACTGCTTTCCTGGCGCGCACGCGCGTGCTAGCCACCCCCCTATTCGGAAAAGCTAATGCGCGCGCGCGTCCTCTTACCTTTTTTTTTTCTTTTTTTTCCGATTTTTTCGTTTTTTTTCACACTTTTTTCTGATTATTTTTTTAATCTTTTAGCATATTTTGAGTTTGAAAGTTTTTAAATTTTGAGTTGAAAATTTTCAAATTTGAACTTGACGATTTAAAAACTTTTAAGTTCAGATTTAAAATTTTTTATTTTTTTTCAAATCTTGATTTGAAAGTTTTCGAATCTCGATTTGAAAGTTTTCGAATCTTGATTTGAAAGTTTTCGAATCTCAAATTGAAAGTTTTCAAATTTTTCAAATCTGGACTTGAAAGTTTTCGAATCTCGATTCTCGAGTTGAAAGTTTCGATTCTAAGTTGAAAGTTTTCAAATCTCGGGTTGAAAGTTTTCAAATCTGAGTTGAAAGTTTTTAAATCTGGGTTGAAAGTTTTCAAATCTGAGTTGAAAGTTTTTTAAATTTGACTTTAAAATTTAAAACTTAAATCGAAAGTTTTCAAATCTAACTTAAATTTTTTTTAATCTATTAGTAAAAAAATCTCCCAAAAAAATCGTCAGAATCTTGTCTAATTACTATCATTAATGTTAAGTATATTAACTAATATAGATAGTTAAAACTAAAGAGAAGGGGGAGTGCTCGCTAACTGATTTCATGGCTCGCCACCCCCGTTGAATCATTCCTTCTACGGGGGAGTAGTATTTACTACTACCTCTGTGGCTTATGCCTTGGAAAATTCCCGTAAGGTAACTTTGATTGCCACGATCGTTTTCGTCCGTGCTCCAGACCTCCAGTAACATTCCAATAGGGTCACTTTCTCTCGTTCTATCATACAGTACACGTCTTGTTGCTCTCATTTATGTTTCTACTTGGTATAGGAGAACCACTACCACAAGTTCATTTTTTTTCTTACATCCATTTTGCATTCTATTGTGTCTGATTGTTTCGCGGTCGTGGCCTTGTATCAACCAAGGAATCGAAAAGAGAGAATTTCTTATATACTATTGAAAATTAGTCTGATTCCTTATATGCCACTCAAAATTGACTTTTTTCTTATATGCCATTGTTTCAAATTTGTGCACCCTCTCATGACACTCACATCTGTTGACCGTGTGTTGACCGTTAACTCTCAAATAAAAAAGACGTATTTATCATTCTGATTATATAACGATCAACACACGGGAGTGACATGAGAGAGTGCACAAATTTAGAACAATGGAATATAGGAAAAAAACAATTTTCAATGGCACACAAAAATTAGACCAATTTTCTGTGACGATTCTCTCCGAAGGAAAAGGCCTGACGACTGTTTGCATCTGCAGAAAACAACCCCAAATTCCCAACTCCCCATGCTGAGACGTCCCCTAGCCTGTAGCCTGTACTCCCTCCGTTCCAAAAATAAGTGTAGTTTTAGCACTATTCATGTCCAACGTTTAACCGTTTGTCTTATTTAAAAAAAGATTATGATTAATATTTTTATTGTTATTAGATGATAAAACTTGAATAGTACTTTATGTGTGACTAATTTTTTAAATATTTTTTATAAATTTTTTAAATAAGACGGATGGTCAAAAAGCTGTGCACGTATATTTATGGCTGCACTTATTCTCTGACAGAAAACAAAACAAAACGCTGCTGCTTGTTTTTTTGTCAGAGAATACGACGACGACAAAAACCGGAGATCAGAATTTCAACAGTAGTACGCAACTGTGGTAGTTTGACGTGCTTGCAGGCCAGTGAGCTGCCACCACGTTTTCATGAAAGGTTTCACATATGTAAATTAGCAGTAATAGATACTGAACCAGAACAGAAGACCACAGCCACAAACAAAATAGTGGTAGTACTTTGATGATAAGATGTAAGATAAACACGCACAGATCGACCAAACTTGTCCAAGGTTCAAACCCTGGTCCTTTGGGTTCAGCAGGCAGCAAAACCTAACTGTCAAAAAGAAAATCAGACGAAAACTTTGAACTGGAACTCGGATTAGGTGATCGCCTCACTACTCGGACACTCTGCATTACAGGTGTTCAAATGGCTGGCCTACTCGTGTAATCATTAACTAATAGTACTAATAATCTAGTAATTTACAGCAAGTTTTCCACGATTCCATCTGTCCGTGGCGAGGCAATTACCAGATGGTTCACACCGATTGTGCGGTGTGAAACTGAGACTGCAATTAGGCAATGTAATGCTATTGTGGTATCTTTTGTTTCTGGTTTTCTGGATCAGGAGAGACTTGTGAAAAGTTCAGATTAGTCACCTGGAAGAAGTTGGAATGCTCCGAGTCGATCTGCGATTCTGCATAATAGACCAGGACAGCAGGACTGATCCAGAAGGATATAATCATATAACAAGCAGCCTAGTACATTTGAAGCTACGGGCGGGTAGTATTCTCTTCCCTTGCACATAGGAGAATCGAAGAATTGACCGGCTGATCAGACGACCACTAAATTTCGCAAACGGCGAATATCAAGTGGAGTTGGGACTTGGGAGGGAGTCGTTTGGGGAAGGGGAAGGGGAGGGGGGGGGGGGGGGGGGGACGATGAACAAATTCAGAAGTTTTGGCTCGATTACGACTTTGATTTTGGGAGTGCGTCGCCAAAAGGAATAAGTTCACTTGTGGTCCTTTAACTTGTCAACGAATCTGATTTTCATCCTTCAACCAGAAAAACAGATACAACACGTCCCTCAACTATCAAAACCGGTGCAGATAAGGTCCCTCGGCGGTTTGGACGGTGGTTTTGGCTGACGTGACGTCTACGTGGCTAATTTGACTCGGTCTTCATCTGACGTGGCACTTGTGTGGCAATTCGTTTAAAAAAAATAAAAATCGTAGGACCCACCTGTCAGTTACACTAAAGGTAAATAAAAAATTATGGGGCCCACGTGTCAACCCTTTGCCGCTCCACTGCGCCCCGAGGACTCTCCACCTGCATCGCGCGGCGACGCGGGAGCTGGAGGGCGGCATCGGCGGAGAAGACGTTGGAGCTGGAGGGCGTCGGCAGTGGGAGGAGGACGTCGGCGGAGCAGAAGCAGGTCGGGGCGTCGGCGTCCGAGTCCATCTTCAGCGCCGGGCGTCGGCCTTGAGAGTTGAGCAGGAGAGCTTCCAGGGGCAGCCGAGGAGGCAGAGGACGGCAGGGAACCCAATGAGGTTGAGGAGGTGGCAGAGCAGTCGACGATGTCGGGAGCGGAACAAATATATTCAACTTTTAATACATCCAGACAGATGCAGCAACAAAAAAGAAAATCCCACTTTCTGAATCAAATCAAATCAAAAACATTTCCTCAATGAACAGCTGCAAATCGAGCATCCAGATTTTTCTCCCGCGGAAAGAAAAAAAAATCATCTCCAGCTGCACAAGGATGAACGAGCAAAGTCCCTCAAAAAGTGACCCAGATCAAGACGGGCGGTGAAATGATAGGATAGGTCGGGCGGTGCCTCACCTGCTTAAGCGATGAGGGGAACATGGTCCGCTCGCACTCAAGCGGCGGCTGCACGATGGAGACCGCGGCGTCCCGCCACCGGCTGCAGGCGCAGGCGTAGACCACCACGTCCAGCCGCGGCGGCCACCACCGCCGATGACGTCGCAGTAGACAGGCAGCGACACGAGTGTTGGATAGTATAGGGAGAGGAATATTGCGTAACGTGGATCACTTGTATTGAGCCTCAGGGGCCGGTATATATAGGAGTACTTGGGAGGAGATAAGGAAGGATTACAGATATGGAAGGAGTCCACACAAATCAATCCTATCCTAATATGACTCTAACTACCATATACTCTAACATCCCTCCGCAGTCCAAGCGTGAGCAGCGCGGACACTTGGACTGAAGAAGAAACCAACAAGAGTACTCAATACGGATGATAACCCTTTGTGCCGTAGTCGATGTAGCCAAAGCGAAGGGTGCGAGGGAGCTGTGGTCGATGAAGCTGTGCGTAGAGTAGCTGTGGTCGATGTAGTCGAAGTCAGGAAGCTGATGTCGAGGTAGCCGAGCCGCAGGGAGCGCATGAGGCGCCGTAGAGTGGTCGTGGACGCACGGGAGGGGCGTCGTGGACCAAGGTGCACGAGGATGCACTGGAGACGAAGATGGTGACACAATCGCGGCAGTCGTGAGGAAGATGACGCCGAAGAGCCGATGTAGTCGAACCGTGAAGGACGAGACGTCACATAGGGTTTGCCAGACCCCGGGACAACTCGGGACGAATCCGCGCGCCGGTGTTGCCAATACCGCGCGGGCGACAGGGGACCACCATGAATCATATGCCAATGTTGCAGGAGACTAGCAGAGAAGGCCTCCAAGACGGTCGCGACGCGAGAACAGCGTAGAGGGAGAATTGCCGGAGCAGCGCGCAGTTGCCGGAGAAGAGCGAAATGTAGTCGAGGGAGATACGGCGACACTGGCGATGAATCATGCTGGACGAAGACGAAGGCCTAGTAGTGAGACCAACGGCCTGGATGGCGATGTTGGTAGCCATGTAGAGGTAGCTGCACCACCGGCCTAGAGTGGCGACAGTGGCAGCTTGGAGATGCGGTGGCAATGCTCGAAGTCGAGGAAGAAGACCCTGAGCGGCTGACGATGACCAGTGCGGACGACGAGGTTGTTGATGTGCGAACGGCGATGAAGACGACGAAAGCGGCGAAGCTGCGGTCCGAGAGGACAGCACAGCTGCAGCTCCATGTCGATGCAGCGGCAAGAAGTCCACCGGTGATGTAGAAATGCTGAGGAGGGTGCCTCTTAGCACTGCAACAACCAGTGGAGGTGTGGACCACAGGCAGCGGCACTGCGGCCCGAGGGGAGCGAACGCAGCGGCACCCCAAAGCTTGATGGTGTAGACGCATGCTCGATGATGATCGGTTGCATAAGTCGTTGTAGCCGGGCGCTTGAACGGGTGATCAAGCTGAATATGCGCGAGGCGGAACGATGAAGTTGAAGCAGAGTCAACACCGATGTCGGAGACACGTGGATGTTGACGAGGCGGTGGGCGACGCAAACCCGTTTTTTGAAAAGGGGAAAAAAACAAGGATACATGTAGCAGCAGAACAGCATCAGTAGCAAGCTCACACGTGCAGCTCATCCTCTCACACATGGTCCATAGGCCAAGTCCACACCACCTTGTGCACCACAGCAGGGACCAAAGTCATCAAGTAGCAATCCTTTGACCGGTCCATCCAATGCCTTTCCCTGTCCCCAATCCTATCCATCCACACACGCGTAGACAGATAGAAAAGTGAGACATGAAGCAACAGATTGATGGCGAGGCAGACAGAAAAGGTCGACGATGACTCAGCCGGCGAGGAGACGGCGAGAGCCGCGACCCTCCAGGAGGGGACGGGGTGGCGCCGGGTGGAGGGGACCTAGTGGCCGGCGAGCGCCGGCGCCGGCACTGGCGGCCTCAGATCCTAGTGGTCCCGAGCGGCGGACGTCCGGTGAGCCGGTGGAGGATGGTCTCAGCAGGACATGCGAGGTGGTAGGCGAGGACCGGCGGCGGAGAAGCAGCGCCGGGAGCTCGTCCCCCCAGTCGACGGTGGTGCTGGAGACAGAGGAGTCGGGGGTTGCAGGGGGAGACCGGTGCCGGAGGTGGAGCAGCCGAGCTGCGTCGTCCGTCTGTCCATCGGGGCTCGATCGTTGGCCAGTGGAGGCGACGACGACGGCAGGGCCCGTCGGTGAGGCCGGCGGAGCAGAACGGACGCTAAAGATGAAGCCGACGACGGGCGGCCTGACGGCGATACAAGAGTGCCGCGCACGGAGGTCGGCAGAGGAGATGCAATCTGTTGCTGCTGCTTGACGACGACTAGACTCGACGAAGAACAATCGTGAAGATCGATCTCTCCAAGACGACGACGACGACAGCGACAAGGAAGAAAAAAGAAAAAAACGGGTGGCCGCCCCCGGGAGCGGCGTCGGCGGAAGCGTGAGAGCGGCGCTAGATCGCCCGCTCTGATACCATGTTGGATAGTATAGGGAAAGAGGATACTGCGAATATTGGACACATTGTATTGAGCCTCAGGGGGCCGGTATATATAGGAGTACATGGGAGGAGATAAGGAAGGATTACATATATGGAAGGAGTCCACACAAATCAATCCTATCCTAATATGACTCTAACTACCATATACTCTAACAACGAGGATGACGAAGAAGGACAGGAACGGGAGGCTAGCAGCGTGCATCGGCACCAGGAAGCGAGGTTAGCAGCGTCGGGTTGGCTCGCGCAGGCGGAGGCGTGGATCGGCACCAGGAAGCGAGGTTGATGGCGTCCGGCGAAGGGAAGAGCAGGAGGACGGGGCTCCCCGTCTCGAGATGAGGGGGCCAGAGGAAGGGAGGAGGCGGAGGTTGGAGAGGGAATGGGCGAGGAGGGGGAGGATGGAGAACGGGTTGCGGCGGAGGGCGTGCGGGTGCTGGAGGATGACAACGGTGGTTGAGGCGGGTTATGGCGGAGGGCGTGCGCCGCTCCGCTCCCTCCTCTCCCGCCGGCGCCGCCTAGTGCCGCTCCCTCTCCGTCGCGCCTGAGAGAGGAGAGGGGAGAGAGACGAAGACATGGGAGATGTGAAGAAAGGAGGAAAAAGAGGTGAGAATGACATGTGGGGGCCCACGTGGGCCCCATCATTATTTATTTATTTGTGTGTTAAACTGACATGTGGATCCCATGGGGTTTATTATTTTTCTGGATCGAATTGCCACGTAAGCGCCACTCAATGCCATGTCAGATGTAGACTGAGTCGAATTAGCTATGTAGGCGCCACGTCAGCCAAAACCGCCATCCAAACCGCTGAGGGACCTTATTTGCACTGGTTTTAATAGTTGAGGGACGTGTTGTATCTGGTTTTCTGGTTGAAGGACGAAAATCGAATTCGTTGACAAGTTAAGGGACCACAAGTGTACTTATTCCTCGCCAAAACCAGCGCCGGTTATTAAAATGTAGCTCGAATCTTGTGGCTCGGCCAGCTTTTGTGTTGTGGTTTTCTTACTGCGATACGTTTCCATGGGCCATCAAGTTTGTGCTGGACTGCTGGATCCAAGTTACGTAAGGCCTCGCTGTTAAGCTCATCATAAGTAGAGAAATCGATCTTCTCTGGGCCAAAAGAGTACGGAGTAATCTGTTTCAGTTTTTACAGGGCACGCAAGACATTGACGGGCCAAGCCCATATGTATTCCCTCGTTGCTTTGCTTCGTGATAATTCTTGGGTGGAAAAGTCTATTTTGCTTTTCCTCAAGTCTGACTTGGCCCCTCCCGACAAAATCATTTCGTTTTATCTCCCTGAACGATATGAACGTTGGTTTTGTCCTATGTGACGTGTAAATAACGCCTACATGACACGGAGACTTGATCATCTGATGTGATGCTTACATAACACTTCAATCAAAGAAAAATAAATAAACAAAAAAAATCAAAATCATATAGGCCCTATATGGCTCTCAGAAAATAAAAATGATGTAGGTGGCATCATCTCTCTTTCCCTCTTCTTTCCCAATGACGCTAGAAGCTCAAGGTTGGATGCGTAGTTGGCCATCGGACCCCTGCACGGGCTCCCTCAACAATGGCTCGTTCGATGTCTTCTCCATGCTTTTCCCACCAAGCAGATCGCTTCTGGGATCCTCCCGGACATTGGTTTAGGATGGCAGCGACGACGGCCTCAAGGTGTGGAGTCCATGCGACGCACTTGGTAAGTAGAGGACAACAGGGATATGGCGCGAATGACATCCTCCATGCCGAGAGGCTAGAGCTCACCTACACCTGCTACATTGGTTAGCGTAGTGGATCGATTTTTTGAGGGAGGCATTGTCACGCTCAAAAATTTAACCCAAATTTTCAGACTATTTTGCGTATTAAATCCCTGTCCAGAACCAGCCAGGGTACACAAAACGACAAGTAATATACAGTTCCAAACGTAAAATAAGCGTAAAATACTTACAGAAGAGGCACTTAGTCCTCACACCGAAACAAAAGCAGTAGCAGCGGAAAAAAAAAATGATCCTAGCGGGGCTTCAGCTCCACTCCACAGGCAAAACTCAACTGGGGTCTAAGTCTTGGTCCTCTAACTCCATCTTCAGCTCAGAAGCACTACACTTCTGAAAAGGGGGAATAATAGCAAGGCTGAGTACAACCACCGTACTCAGCAAGCCACACCAACGATGCAGACGTGCAAGGGGATACAAGGATGGTTTGTGGCTATTTGCATAAAGGCGGTTGTAAAACATTTTATTGAGCAAAACAGTAAAACTGTTGAGTAATTAAAGTAACATTAAATCTCCATTGATCAACGCTACACCACGTTGAACAGGCCCAACCAACCCACCTAAACTACAGTGTATTGGGTCGATTTATTAAGATGAGACTAATCACGGTGAATCTGATCGACCGCCCATAACCGCGGGCACGGCTATTCGAATAGTTTTACTCTGATCAGAGGTGTACAACTGTACCCACAAGACACAGCCCCACGACACGTTTCCGTGCGCCGACATGCCACCACGACATACCGGAAAGAGGCCGTGACAGGACCCTTCGCATAACCCCCTCTAACCAAGCACACCACACCTCAGGTTTCACCCCCACTCCTCGCAAGGCAGCGGGCAGTCCCCTCTCGTGCCTAGGTGAATCCGGAAGCCGCATAGGCCGTCGCAGGGCCCATCCAAACTCCATCA